TACCTCTTTAGCGTTTCTTGCCATTATTTTTGGCTTCAAATTTGCTTCTTTTTGTTTAGCGGCCTCTTTTTCTTCAGCTGATTTCTCTGTAGAATTACAAGGGCATATACAGTCTAATTCTAAAGTATAACTGCCAGCGATCGAATCGATTTGAGATGGGCGCAGGAGCGAATTAACGAATTTTCGAATTGTAAATCGGATTTTTAAGGAAAGTTATTGGATTCCACTTCTCTGATCTTTACTTAAGAACTGCGGAATATTTCAAACATAATAGGCTACATTAATGTATTAATGAGTCCCAACGAGTTGTAAACATTTTCGAATTTCTTTTGCTAGTAACTACTCCAGGAAGCAGTTATTCTGGATTTTCGTCCCTAGTCACATACGGACCGAATAGTTCTGAGATTTTTTTAAATGAGATTATTTGAATTTTCGCAGATAATATGAAGCAACCAAGAGCACGCTAATTCATTGCCCACAAAAATATTTCCTTCACCGACTTTCATCAGGATTTGATGATTCCTTTTGATCATTTTTTTCATCCTTCGAATCTTTCTTCACATCGCTTTTCTCGTCGTTCTTCTGATCGCCTTTCTCCTCCTTCTTCTCCTCCTCCTTCGACTCCTTCTTCGATTGCTTCTTCTCTTTTTCCTTCTCCTTCTCAGCATTTCCCTCTTTCTTTTCGTCTTGATTTTTCGCATCACTTTTTCCTTCGGTTGATGTTGTGGGCATATTTGCTGGACTTACGGTATTTGCCTGTAATTGGCCATCTACTTCTCTAGTCGTTCCGGTTTCGGTTAAATTTAACACCATTCAGTATGCTTTCCAGCAATACTATAAACCTGTTTTCATCCCTGTTAAAATTCATTCCCAATAATATTCAAAAGCTCAATAAACAAAAATCCTGCTCAGTATAGATCAAAGTGTTCTCATGAAATTCGCACCTCTCGCTCTGTTTTTTAGAAAAATCACTCAAACAATCAGTTATATGACTCAAACGTTGTGCTCATGC